GCGGGGCTGATGTGGGTCCCGGGGAGACGGCTCTTCCCTGAGTCCCCCGGCAGCGCTTGTGTTGTCCCCACCGGGCCCACCCCTGCTCACTGCTCCCTCCCCTCTGCCAGTGCAAGTCGCCACCAAGGCCAACCCCTGGGAAGGGAAGACGCTGAAGCCCGAGAGTGTTCGATCGCAGCTCAGCACGTCCCTGGAGAGGCTGCAGAGGCCGAGCGTGGAGCTCTTCTACCTGCATGCGCCCGACCACGGGACCCCGGTGGAGGAGACGCTGCGTGCGTGCGATGAGCTGCACAAAGAGGTGAAGTGGGAAGAACAAGCCTGGTCCCCTCCCTCCCGTCACCTTTCGCAAACCAGGGCTGCTGTTGTGCCCTTCTGCAGGGCTGGGTTTGCACAACGCAGGAGGAGAGGACACAACGGCCAGGGCAGAGCCCTGACTAACCCCACTGCGTGCTCGCGTGGGGCACTTTGCTCCCGAGAGCTCCTGGAAGCACGAGACCAAGTGGACTTTGCTTCCAGTGTTAACTGACTAAGTTAAGATTAGTGCTGGCAGCGGGTGAAAGGAGAATCCCTGAATTGCCTTAGTCCAATAGTGGCATTTAAATTAAAGGCTGGACTGAAACTTGGTGCCTGTTCTTTTCGCTGTTACCTTGCGCTGTGCGGGTGCAAACACGCTTCTGAAATCTGGACCCGAATATTCCTTTTATTTCTCTGCAGGGGAAGTTTAAAGAACTTGGCCTGTCAAACTATGCAGCGTGGGAGGTGGCAGAGATCTGCACCATCTGCAAATACAACAACTGGGTGATGCCAACTGTGTACCAGGTGAGGGATGGGGCTGGCCATGGCCTGGCAGGTCTGTGGAGGCTGAGATGAATCCAACCAGGGGAACACCCAGGTTCGGATCAGAACAACATAGAAATGGTTTTCGGTGTCCTTAGAGCAACGGGCAGCTCCTGTGGGGAAGTGTCTGGGGCTCCCAGATCTTGGAGGAGCCCGCAGAGGACGCAGCAGGGGAAGCTGTGGCCGTCAGCCTGGGAAGACCTTTCAGGATGTGTGTGGTTAGAGCTGAGGTCACTTCTGGGAGAAGGCTGAGTCCGTGTTTGTTCCGAGTCAGTGACTCCCCTGATGTGGAACTTAAAAATGAACGGCTTTAGGAAGTGTGTTCCTCATCAGGCAGTAACCTCGTGTGGCCTGAAGCTGCTCTTCTCTGTAAGGGGACTGTCAGGGAAGGGGGGAAAGGGCTGTTCAGGTGCCCACTGCCCTGAGCTGGTGTTTGAAGTTGTCTCGTCATCCTCGTGCAGGGCATGTACAACGCGACCACGCGCCAGGTGGAGGCTGAGCTCTTCCCTTGCCTGAGACACTACGGGCTGCGGTTCTATGCCTACAACCCGCTTGCAGGTACGGGGAGGGAAGGGGTGAGACTTGGAAACCAAACCCAATGCGAAGTGGGGGCTGCAGAAGAGCCAGCCCATCCCCAAACGTGCTGCTGACCCTTTGCAGGAGGTCTGTTGACTGGCAAGTACAAGTATGAAGACAGAGACACACGCCAGCCCACAGGAAGATTTTTTGGGAATGACTGGGCTCAAGTTTACAGGGACAGGTATGCTTTGAGCTGGTCGATGAGCAGGGAGATGGGGCAGGAATGATTGCGTGGAAACCCACAGCAATGAGCTGAGAGGAAACAGAATTGACCAAAGCTTGTGTCTGTCCGTGTGGTTGGGGCTGTAGCTCGTGGCTGAGCTTTGCAGAGTGGTTTTTAGGCTCAGCTTCCTCCTGGCTTGCAGTGGGGGATTGCAGAAGTCCTTGGAGGCTACAAAGTGTTGCATGAGGCTTCCTGAAAGCCTCTTGCACTGGATGGGAATATAGATGTAGCACTCACCCGAGATCCCGAGGGCAGCAAGAGCGATTCTGTTGTGTTTTTTCTTGCAGGTACTGGAAAAAGCACCATTTTGAAGGCATTGAAATAGTAGAAGCAGCTCTGAAAGACGTGTATGGCTCCGACGCACCAAGCCTGGCCTCGGCAGCTCTGCGCTGGTTGTACCATCACTCCAAACTGCAGGTGGGAACCAGGCAGCTCTCGTGGCGCACAACCAGGGCAGGGTTTCTTAATCTGCGTATCCTGTGGGCTTGTAGTGTTCCCAAGGGAATACTGCTACGTGGCTCTGCCGGCCACGCAGCAGGAGCAAGTTGGCTCTGTATTTCCTCATGCTATCCTGTGTCTGTGGCATTGGGGGAAGTGGAAGATGTTAAGGGGCAGTTACTGGGGCATTGGCCCAGCAGCAAGATGACTTCTCATCAAACTAGGAGATGAATGGTTATATTCCCCATCTCCCCAAAACGTTCCTGTAGCTCCTTGTGAAGCAGCATTTGGCAGCTTTTGAGGCATTGCCGCAACGTGGAGATGTTCTGGCCCTATGAGCAGCACTTCATGGTGTCAGTTGTCTGAACACCCAGGAGCTACTAGCTGCTCTTCACTGGAAAGAAAGGTGTCAGCTGTGGCTTGGGAGGTGAACCAGGTCTCTTCTGGGACCGGCAACGCCTCTTACCGCTTTCCAGGGTTCTCTTGGGGACGCGGTGATCATTGGGATGTCCAACCTGGAGCAGCTGGAGCAGAACCTCAACTACAGCGAAGAGGGGCCCCTGCTGCCGGCCGTGCTGGAGGCGTTTGACAAGGCCTGGAGCCTCGCTGCTGCCGACTGCCCCAACTACTTCCGCTAGAGACCAGGGCAGGGCTGAGGCAGCGGGTGCCTGGGGGTGGGTAACGGAGCACACGAGGGGCACTTGCCCGCCCTGCCCCTCTATCAATGTGCAGGTGGGGTTTGGCTGTGCTAACGCCGAGGAAGCTTTGTAGGACCCACCACAGCTCTCAGCACTTAGTGTGCTGGCCGTGCCTGTGTCCTCCTCCCCTCCCGGGCCTGCAGCTCTGTGCAGCACACTGTGATTTACGCATGTAGTTAATAAGGGAGAATGGTCACTGGATGAAGGCCCCAGTTTGCCTTTAGTATGAGATTGTAAGTGATTATATGCAATAAAATCTTAGTCTCGCACAGCCCTTATCTCTTAACCACAACCTGTCTCCTAAACCACAACCTGGCTGGCTTCTTATCCATGCTCTGCAACCTCGAGCTCAACAGCTCCTCTGGGTCAGAGCATGGGAGCAGCCCCTCTGCAGCATGTGGGAGAGGGTCCAGAGAAGACCCACAAAAACGAGGAGGGGGACAGAGCACCTCTTCTCTGAGAACAGCTGAGAGAGTTGGGGTGGTTCAGCCTGGAGAAGGCTCCAGCAGATCTTACTGGGGCCTCTCGTAAGAAAGAGAGGGTTTTGAGCAGCTCCTGTTGTGACAGGATGAGAGGTGATGGGTTTGAACTACAAGAGGGAGATTGCGGCTGGGCGGGTGGGCCAAA